GATGGACTTGAGGTGGCTTATGGGTAGGGTTAGGGACAGGCTTGGTGGTATATTTAGGTTTAAGGATGGGTTAATATAATTACATTTGTATTTACAGATGTAATTACAGAAATTAATTGCATATGTAATTACATGCGAGTATTAAATAAATTGTAATTACAATGTAAATTGACACAGTAAGTACAATGCAACCTATGATTTATTTCAGTGTAAGTACATACTGTACTAGTTAAAGCCACACACACACACACACACACACACACACACACACACACACACACACACACACACACACACACACACACAAGAACGAACATGTTTAAACTTCATATAAAATAAATGATGAAAAAATATGCATGATATATCCAAACAAAACAACTTAAAATTTCAGTTTATTAACTGTAACTCTATGGTCATCAGGCTATATCAGTCTTGGTCATGTGATCATAAATAGAACACTTACTTTCTCAAAGTCATCATCAATCGACTTCAAGGCTAAAAATACAGTGTTTGTGTGCAGGTGTAAAAGAAAGCATCTTAGAAATGCAGACTTGACGTTAAAGCTCTTGAATTCCAGGATTATACTATTGCAAACAGTTGATGGGTCTCATTTTAAAGGACTGTAAAATCTGATTAATGGCCAACTAACACTTTTTAGTAAAGTTTGCACATTGTGCAATGTGTTTATCATAGCTGTAAAAGTCTAGTAATCAGTACCGTTTGTGTGCAATCATTTTCTTACTCTATTTAAGAAAAACCCTATTAAATTGCTTGATAAAGTACCATTTTGTCAAGCTAATTTCTAGTTCCCAGCATGCATTGTTTCACAATCTAGTAAATGCTTAAATGAAGTGTTATTGTGTGTGTTTTTGCACAAGAGCAATAAAGAGAGTGTTTTATGTTCTATTTATAATTAGTTTGTAAAGGCTTTTCTGTTATGTCTGCATTTTTGGGGAGGTTAATATTGTGCTGAAGACTGGAGCCCGTGGCTTAATTAATGGGACTAAAAATATTAAGACTAAAATTTAAACAATTCCAAGAAGAAAATATTACACTAGTTCCCTCAACTTAATGAATCTGGAATTAACAGATATATTAAATTTAAAATGAATTAGTTTTTGTAACAATAATTGTAACCTTATATTGAACATTTGTCATTTTATTATGGTTATGTTTCCAAAAGCATATATATTTACCACAATATCAGCTTTTGAAAACTTTCTCTTAAAATTATTCTGTTTGTTAATGTGTCCAACGCATTTTTGAAACAGTAATAAGGTATTGCACTTTATAGTAGTACAATGCTTCCCACACATAGACTTTACTTGGGTGGGCCACCCAGGTATCTAAACAGGTAGATTTTTTTTCTTTACATTTTTTTTTAGTATACCCCCTTTATAACGTTTGTGATCGATTAAGTAGTGGAGAATCTTTTATCCATTTCGATGTGTGTTTGTGAGATCTTACATGCTCACAGAGAGGCGCCCTTTTGGGACTTAAAATATTCATGCCTGGTTTCTAAATTTTGTAAATTGTCAACTTTTATTTTCACTTTCTAAAGCTAGTATGCATTTTTGCATTATCTTTTTAATTAAGCTTTCTTTCGCTTGGCTTTGCAGCTGACTGCACACGTGAGAGCAAAAAAAAAAAATATTTTTTATTCTAAATGACAAAATGAATGGTCTAAACTGCAAAAAAATATGCACACCATTAGTTATGGTTAATCAAAACATTTGCCTTAATAATCTACATGTATTATTCTTGTAATTATGATTGTTTTTTAGAGATATTGTCTGTTTTTATTTCTTTTTCTGTCATTTACTTCTCATTTGTGGATGATTTTATTAATCTGATAGTTCCTATAGTACTTACGCTATTTTAAATACATATCCAAAGTGCTCTGGCATTCAAGTTTGCTTTGAACTTAAAAGAGAGAGTGAATCAGATTTTACCTGTCAGTGGGTGCATGTCTCCTGAATAGCAAAAAAGTAAGAGAAATTGTGGATGACTTTTTTTTTTTTTTTTACTTTAACTGATTGAAAAGAAACAGTATGAGTCACAATAACAACAATTTTTGTTAAAAATTAAATAATGCTTTGTTTGTCGCATATAGTTAACAATAAATCTCATGTGGGCGAATGGTGTGTTCAATCTGGCTACCACCACAAGTATATGTCAAACCTGTGGGAAGCCCTGCAGTAATATTCTTTGAAACATGCAATCTCAAAATGAGGTCTGCTTATTATAACAACTCATGATGATCAATATGATCACAAATCATAGAGTTCTTGTTGTGTTCTTAGTTGGCTGTAAACACAAAAGCATTTGTGAAACCAAAGTAAAAATTACATAAACACTTGCAAAAAAAATGTGCATTGATCATACAGTAAATGCTGTAGACAAGTTTCCACTGGGAAATGAAAATTCACTCTCAGAGCTAAAAGATCCAGATCTGGCCAAATCAGAATTTGGCAGACAATAACGGAAAAAGATTTAGCTGCAGAAAATCCCCAGCAGTGAACCCTGGTTGTCTAAATTCAAGCAAAGGTCATCTGTCATCTGTTCTTGGATTTTGTAAGCAATAGAGAAGAAGAGAAAGTTGGTGCATTCATCTTTTTTATTAAAATATATACTTTAAAAATGTGGATAAAAAACACTTTGACAACATTCATTCACACAAGCTTGGTGTGCTGCAGCATTCCTGTTTGATTTCAGTGTAATCTGCAGTTTTGCAAAGTAAGCAAACTTCACACAAGCAAATGAAGTTGAATTGAAATACGTCTCAAACAGATGTAGAAATACTCCCCTGTTCCTCTCTAAGCTTTCAGTGCTGTAATGATAATGCTGCAATTATGTTTCAACAAGGGAGCACTTCATATGATGTGTAGTCTGTGATGAAACATTCCTGCACTCGCATATAACTGCAGCCAATGGAACTGAAATCCATCTGCAAAGTCCTCTTAAAGACACAGCTCCCCCAAAAATGAACATTCTACTCGGCATCAGATTGTTCACAGCCTGCATGACATTCTTTTGTTTGCCGAACGTAAATCCTGGTAGCTCTATTCCAGTAACACACAATGGGGATTGAAGCTTTCAAGGTTCAAAAAAGAAAGAAAATGCACTTAAAAATATAAAGATCTTGTTTGAAGTATTCAAGACTTGTATGTTAGGAGAGCTTTGTGTGAGATATGTGCAAAAATTTAAACAATTTTCACAAAAAAAAAAAGAAAAAAAAAAAACTTGACCTGGAGAGAGTAATTTATAGACTGGTGAATCCAATTACAGAATGAATCATTCAAGCTAATATTGTGCAGTCAATTGATGTAGTGTAAGCATTTAAATACATTTTTAAAATTTTTAAAAATCAGACAGATTAATTTAGATTTAAAAATATATATATTTTAGTATTTTGTGTCTTACAAAAAACTATCAACTTAGTTTAAATCATGGCATATATGTACTAATGTGATATTTTTATAATGATTTGCAGATTGTTGAAGCTCAAATTCCATTAAATTTTTAATTGAACATTAATAATTAAATCACCCGCTTCAAATGTTATCACTCGATTTAATGGTCGTTATCAGTGGTTATCAGCTGATAGATATGGGCCAGTAGGGGTCTTCTGCGCCTACTAGTAGGCTCAGAAAGCTGTTATCATCCATCCACATGGTTAATCAGCTATACTAATAGAGAAGACTCCAGATCCAGATCTGTTTTTACATTACTGTGATGGTTGGGTTTTGGGTTGAGGTTAGGGTAGAGGATAATAAAATACAATTAATAGGAAATGTAATAAATAATATAAATAATTCTTGTTCTGCAGCCGTATGTGACCTATAGCTGATTAACCATGTGGATGGATGATAATAGCCTTTTGAGCCTACCAGTAGGCGCAGAAGTCCCCTACTGGCCCATATCTATCTCCTGATAACCTCTAATAATGCCCGTTCAATCGAGTGATAACATTCGAATCAGCTAAATACATAACATATTTTAAGGAGGCCAACTAAAACAAAACATCAGTAAAAATAAATAAATATATATATATATATATATATATATATATATATATATATATATATATATATATATATATATATATATATATATATATATATAAAAACAATAGCGTTTTTTTTTCATTAAATATGTTGTCATGACAGGCTGGAAACATTATCATACACTTGCCATCATTTCTTGGAGACTAAATCAACAAAATGTAAAAGAGTTATTCAAACTAATTGTGTGCAGTGAATCAAATGATTTTGAACAGATATAATCGATTGCACTTAAAGGCTTTTTTCCACACAAAGCTATGAAATGAAATTAAATTAAATGAAATAGAGCTTGTTTATATTATTTTCAAGTACGTTTTTGGAACTTTTTTTTGAAGATTGAAAGCTGTAGTTCCCATTTATTCTATATAAATATAAATAAATATTGTAAAGAAATGTGAAAGAAAGAAAGAAAGAAAGAAAGAAAGAAAGAAAGAAAGAAAGAAAGAAAGAAAGAGAAAGAAAGAAAGTCAAATCATTTTAAGGTGGCTATACTTTTTTTTTTTTTTTTCAATTTCATGGTGTGTGATGCAGACTTCCACAGTATTCGATCTTTTTCTTCATCATCATCAAACCAAGAGGAACAGGGCAGAGTCCTTTACAGTCTGTCACAAGACAAAGGCAGTTACATCACTGTCCATGTATTAAAAGTCACAAAATAATCCATTCAAGTTGCTCCTCTGTCCGTATTTTTTCCTACTCGTGAACAAAAACAAAATCACCATCACTTCTCCTATAAACACAAAATCACCTTACCACAACACCATCCACAAAATGAATCCATCATAAAAAAGTGAAATTCAGCAGTAGAAAAAACAAAAGAAAAAGACTTCATGTGTGAAGTCTCCATTTTTTTCCCTCCCCTTTCTTCTTTCATGTTATGCCTCAGTGAGATCTGAACGTACTTACAGAGAATACGAATGTCACCAACCCGTCAGTCTAGTTGGCGATTCCTGTATCCTTTCCAATGTACATGTCGGCGAGCTTCTTAAACTGCGGGCCCCAGTTAGAAAGGTAATCATATTCATGGTCTCCCTCAGTGAGAGATGACTCCAGAGAGCTCAGTGACTCAGCGATTGATCCGTTTCCCTCATAAGCGTAAGTTGCGAGCGAATCATAAGGCGGGGCGAAAGGGTCTGTGTCGTTTTCTTGCAGTCTGCTGATAATGAAGTCCCTGACGTCTGCGCACTCCTTCATGGGTGAAGGTCTATGGTAGGGAAACAGCATCTCTGGAATGATGTCGCGCCGCAGTTTGTTGCTTTCGATGACCTCCGGGTGGCGCAGTGTGCCGATGTCGAAGGCCTGCGTGTCTTCCTCGCCACCGCCCTCATCGTTGTAGCTGACCACATTGTCCCGGACGTCCTCCTTCGAGATGATAAGGGGTTCCTTTCTCCTCTGTTTCTTCAGAGCCGAGAACAGCACCACAATCACTGGAGGAAAGTGAAGATATGGGTTTTGGTCAGTGAGATTTATTCATTCATTAATTTTTCTTTTGGCTTAGTCCCTTGTTTATTGGGGGTCACAACAGTGGAATGAAGTGCCAACAATTCCAGTATATGTTTCTTCCAGCCCTTGCAGCCACAACCCAGTACTGGGAAACACCCATACACTCTCACATTAACACATGAACTCATACACTACGGCCAATTTAGTTTATTCAATTCACCTGGACTGCAAGTCTTTGGACAGTGGGGTAAACCAGGGCAACCAGAGGAAACCCACACGAACACGGGGAGAACATGCAAACTCCACACAGAAATGCCAACTCACCTAGCCCGGACTCAAACAAGCAACTTTCTTGCTACGAGGCCACCATCTGCCCCAGTGAGATTATAGCTATAAATATTAGTAAGATTAAACTTATAGCAACAACGTTTGGCATCAAGTTAGCCATTGTAATCGTATGGTTGACTTTTTATAGATGGGTCATTATTAACCCTTGTGTGATCTTAGAATTCTGTATATTTCGTTTTTCTAGCGGCTCAAAAATGACCCAATCTCTCTAAAGCTTATCTATTGTTTGCATGAAGAAAGAACCTAGCAAAGATAAACTAAATAAATCTGAATTGACACTAATAGTTTTTTACGCTGTTAAAAAAATGCTGGGCGAGGCAGTGGTGTAGTAGGTATTGCTGTCGCCTCACAGCAAGAAGGTTGCTGGGTCGCTGGTTCGAACCTCGGCTCAGTTGGTGTTTCTGTGTGGAGTTTGCATGTTCTCCCTGCCTTCGCTTGGGTTTCCTCCGGGTGCTCCGGTTTCCCTCACAGTCCAAAGACATGCGGTACAGGTGAATTGGGTAGGCTAAATTGTCCGTAGTGTATGAGTGTGAATGTGTGTGTGAATGTTTCTCAGAGATGGGTTGCGGCTGGAAGGGCATGCACTGCGTAAAAACTTGCTGGAAAAGTTGGCGGTTCATTCCGCTGTGGCGACCTGGATTAATAAAGGGACTAAGCCGACAAGAAAATGAATGAATAAAAAAATGCTTTTTTCAAACTTCATTTACATTTTTCACATGTAAACAATGCATTTAAAACAGTTTTAAAATTAGCAATTTTCGTTTGAAAAAAGCTGTAATACTATTGGAATGTTTTTTCTGAGAAGTTCCAAATTCATATGTAACCCACCAGTCCTATTGCTCCCAACCAGGTCTGAGTTGGGATCGAACTGGTGATTCTTTCTATGGGAGTCGGTTGATTTAAGGGCGTACTCTCACTAGGCATGGTTGCCTTGAACCATGCCAAAGCGTGATTGTCCCCCCTCCCCTCTCCCCCTCAGTGTGCACTCATACTGCATCTTTTTTCCTTCCGAACCTTAGCACGCTTTCGTCATCGATGATGCGTTTTTCAGTTTAACAGGAGGAGAAGCACTCTCACTCAGTACAGTGGAGATTGCTTTAGTTATATCGTTTGAGTCATTTGGGATGTAGTAACATACAGCCAAATCTTTTGCTGAATAGTCCTCACACTGCAGGTATTAGGAGGTTTGCTGAAGGTGCAGCTGTTGTGCAGTGAAGGGTTTGCATCTTTAATAAACGATGACAGTTCACATTAATTGAAAAGTTAGAATGATTAATAAATCCATATTAAACAGTCGCTTAAAAGTGACATTACTTCTTCATTTCTGTGCCCATGCACACTTTGAACTACAAGTGTACCACGCCAAAGCTCAACCGAACCACGTTCTGGCACACCTTTTCCAACCGGGCCAGGTACCCACCAACTGAAACCACGCCTGGGCCCAAATCGGAGCACTCACACTTGTCAAATGAACCTGGAAACACACCTGGGCACGGTTTGGGTAGCATAGTGGGAGTGCACCCTAACAAGGAGGGTGAAAATATGTCGCTAGAGCACATTTTGAGGTCAGTGAGGTTTACAAGCATAAAACTTTACTAGATGCCCTCCATATTCTAAAAACAGTGTAGACACGAATTACCCAGATGACCTACTATTTCTGGTGAGATTTTGAAGTGTGCATCCAATGTATATTTTACTATCCAATAAAGCCACATTTACACACACACACACACACACTACACAATGGCCAATATCATTCATTGAATCATTAATTTTCCTCCAACTTAGCAAGTTGCATCCAGAGGAAACTCCACAAGGAAATTCCAAGTAGCCCAGCCGCTACTCAAACCAGTGATCTTTTTGCTGTGAGTCAAAAGTGTTAACCACTGTGCCGCCCCCATACTTTACTTGTGAGGTGAATTTTAAGAGCTACTCAATTAGTATGGGATTTCAAATGCAGCTACAGTCCTGTGGTCCACCACTTATTTTGTTGTCAAACAGCAGTCATGCATGCCTTTAAACTAGCAATAAATGTAATTACCTTTTTTACATTGTGTTACCACTGTGGCAACCCCAGATTAATAAAGAGACTAAGACAAGAAAAGAAAATGAATGAATGACATCCATTGTAGATTATATAGAGACAATTAGGGGATTAAAAGCGAGCATGTTCATTGAGATTTGTTTTCAAACGTTAGCATTTGTAGGTCCCAAAGATGCCATTGTCATGCAAATGAAGAGTCAAAAAAGGGGTGGGAAGGTGGGAGTCTCTTTTTAGTTGAGAAATCCTTTCTAAATAATGAAAAAAAAGTGTAAATTGTTTTTGTTTTTTTTCAAAAATATTAAGCAGCTCTGCATTGCTCTAAATATAATACTACTAATAAAAAAAAAATCATCCTTGAGCTGAAAATCAGCATATTCTAATGCTTTATGGAGATTTCTACACTCCCTTGGTACATTCTGGTATGGGATACGATTATGGAATCTAGAATATACATTGATATATTAATACTGTATGTGCTTTACATGTGCAAAAAAGCCATCATGCAAGCTGATTGATAAGCAACATTGTGAGTGAGTGTAACGAATGTAAGTACTGATCTTTACTTATATATCAAATAATATGAGAAACATTTCTTGCTAACAAATAGACAAACATCTAGTGGATAGTAGCAAAGTATAAAGAAAAAAGAGCTTTAAAAAGAGCTTTAAAGAGAGTTTTTTTTAATTTTCATTCATTTATTCATTTTCCTTAGGCTTAGTCCCTTTATTAATCTGGGTTCACCACAGCAGAATGAACCGCCAATTATCCAGCATATGTTTCATGCAGCGGATGCCCTTCTAGCTGCAACCCATCACCCTTCACCTATAACGGATGTCTTCAGACTTCCGGGGGAAACCAGAGCACCCGGAGGAAACCCACGCGAACACGGGGAGAACATGTAAACTCCATAAAGAAATGCCAACTGACCGAGCTGAGGCTCGAACCAGCGACCGTCTTGCTGTGAGGCCACCGTGTCGCAGATTTTTTTTATATGTTATTATCAATTTACTCTAAATATGCATGACCAGATCCTTTGACATAGAACCTATTGTTAATCTGAATGACATTTTACTGGATGTCTTCTGTAGCAAGAATGTGTGATAGTCACTATTTATTTGCTCATTCAAAAAAATAGTAATAATTAAACAGAACACATTCTATTGAACAAAAACTGACTAATTAAGCAGTAAGAAGAATACAGCATGTATAAACTCACTAAGCAGGATAAGGATGCAGAGCAGTATGGCCACCAGCGCTCCAGTGCTGAGTCCAGCAGAGAGCAGCAACGCATCAACACTGCAGGAACGCATTGTGCCGGTGGCATCGCAGCTGCACACACGAATGGTCAATGTGCTGGTGCTGCTCTGGATGGGGTAGTCGCTGTCGGAGATAACTACTGGCAGATAGTAGACACTCATTTCACGCCTGTTAAATCCACTTCTTCTGGTCAGGATTCTGGCTGTGTTATCTGTGGGAGAGGTGGGGGTTAAGAGAACATTCAAACAGTCAGAGCCGGAGATATTATCTCCCGCTGAGGCAAACAACAGCACAAATAAAGCTGTTTTTGTCTGGGCCAAAATGGGAAGAAAAAAAATAATAAAAAAGATCAGACACATTTTCCCCCTATGATCTTCAAGATTTAAATGTCAAAGGAAAGATTTATTCACCTTCATTATCAAAGATGGTAAAGTTTGGATTCAACGAACTCAAGCTGAATACAAATTTGTGGCCCACAAGAGGATCGTCTGTGTCAATGGCGCTGATAGTCTGTATGAGCTGGAATGGGAGACACGTTGTTGAATATCAAGAATAAAATGGTCTGTTATTGTGAAAAAAAAAGTAATACCTCTCCGGCTTTGAAATTCTCACAAACAAACGTCTCGTAAATCATGGCAAACTCTGGCGCATTGTCATTCACATCCAAAACCTTTATCAAGACAGGAACACGGCTCCTTTGGTGAGGGTTATCTAGAGGAAAATGTACAGAGAATCATAATATGACCATGGCCACAAAGATATTTTTATTCCCATGCTATATGTGCCCAGTAACACACCATATGTCACCAGGCACAGCTATTCTTGCACATATATATACTCACTCATCTCACTGGCCAGAACTGAGATATTGTGCCACTTTGACACCTCCCTGTCAAGAGACTTAAGAATTGTGATGGATCCATTCTTGGGGTCGATGTGGTAGAGTCTCTCCGGGTCTGTGTGCTGATCTATTGCATATCTATGGGCAGGTTCAAGAAAGAAACAAAAATAACCAGAACAGTTACTGACGTTCCCTGAGGTTTGAAGAGCTGCATAGCAATTGGCATTGCAAAGCAATTGTTATGAATTGGATCAGAATAGACAAAAGCCATCTGCAGGGAATTATAGTGAATGAGATTTTTGGCAAGAAGATGTTTCATTTATACTGCTTCACCATCCACTTTTTTTGCTACATTATATCTCATAAAAGAAACTTAATTTCCTGAACCGCTTCGGCTTCATAAGTATTGTGACCTTATATCAAAATATGACTTTATATTTCAGCATTTATGAAACGTTTCTCAATTTAAGTTCACAATTGTGCCTATATATCTCGCAATACAATAAATGTCTTATTACCAAACAGTAGCTTATACATTTTTAAAGTCATACATGTTTTAAAATTCATTACATCGGCATAAACGCACACACACTCACAATTTATAGATGTTTTTCAGTAAAACTAATGGTCACACTGTATTTTATGGTACAATTCTTGTATATTAAACCATTAAATATTACCTTTGTCTCAACAGAATGATAATTTATGGTAGTGGTTAGGTTTAGGTATTAGGTAGAATTAGGGATGTAGAATTAAATAATGAAAAATAGATAATGAATATAGGTTAGTAGCAATAAACAGCGAATGGGCTATATGCACACGGACTAATTTTCAGCCAGGCAGCCCAAGGGCTTCCGGTGAACTGTCTTTCCTTTACAAAATTGTCATGGTCACTGCGATCTTCACTGCTATTAGATGTATGATATGACGTGGGTCTCAGATCAGACAAGAAGCACTGCATTAAATTCCATTTCTCCCTGCTATGTCTTTAAAATATAACAGTTTGTTTTACCCCAGTTTTTTCAATTGAATTTCTTCGCTAACCTGTTTCTACTGATGACGCTAGTTGCTACAACGGTCTTTCATCTCGTTTTACGCTTGAACAACTAAATGAATGCTTAAGTCTATTTAACTGAATGTATTGTAATTACTTAACAACATCGATGCTGTAAAAACAACCTTGTGAAATTGAAAACATTCACATTAAGCTGTCAGCGGAAGTTTATAGTTGGCTTTAATAAGCTGTGCACAGAGCCCATAGCTTAACAAATTTCTGGTAATAAACCACTAGTTTATAGTAAGGATTTATAGTTAAACTAAAGTGTTACCAAACTAATGTTTTTGCTTTATTCTGTAATAAAATAAACAAACATTGACATTGTACTAAACCTATAGATCCAGACCGACAGAGAAACTGAGAATTTTGAATGAGTAATCAAGCAAATACCCAAAAGAGCTGTTCATACAAACAACACTTCATCCTTTACCACTGAGATCACACATCACTATCAAAACACTGACAAACTCTGTTACACTAATGTGTCATTCATCATAAGTGACAGGTGTAAAGGGATAACAGAGAACACACAAAACAACACGGATAAAACAAGACTACCGGAGCTCTGAAAAAAGGAAAACAAATCAGGAGGTTCGTCCCAAATTGTATACTTATGCACTATTCTATACCATTTTTTCTTGTATAAATAGTGTAAGTAGTGGGTTCACACTGAAATTCTAAAAAGAATAATACCTGGATGATGCACTTATTCAACCGATAAAAATAAGAGTGTATTGTTGGACACTTTACACACTCAACAGCTGCTGCTTTGCTCATGTAGCGGAAGGGGTGGAGCTTTTGTACACTGATGTTGGATTACTTTATTTATTTTGGATTGTAAAAGCAAAATACTCCTACGAGAGTGATTATACCGCCTCCTGATGGTGTATGCGGTAATACTCATGGCAGGTGTTATTTGGTAGTTTGGTCATTTATTTAGCTAATTTAGCAACTGTCAAACATTAACTGGGAAACGGTTTGAATTTCTGCTTTGTAAAATAAACAAAAAAAATGTTAGTGTTCCATTTGGAATGACACTACATACATATACTATGCTGTTGAGTAAGTGCATAGTGCAGGGGTGGCCAACCCTGTTCCTGGAGAGCCACCTTCCTGCAGATTTCAGTTGCAGCCCATATCAAACACACCTGCCTGTAATTATCATGTGGTGTTCAGGTCCTAATTAATTGGTTCAGGTGTGTTTGATATGGGTTGCAACTGAAATCTGCAGGAAGGTGGCTCTCTAGGAACAGGGTCGGCCACCCCTGGCATAGTGTATAGTGTGCCATTTTGGACAATGCTAAGACCTAAAAGGGCAAGATATGGTGCATTAAATCTAAATTTGACTATTCACGTTGTTAGTGCACATTGCTAGCCTTGTGGCCATGACTAGATAATAATTCTGATGCTACATTTTAAGCTTTGGCAAATTGGTAGCTAATATCAGATTGTTAAGAATAAAATGTTACAAATTCATATGAATTAGCCACTTATTTTCCAAAACATGAACTGTTACATTTGACATACTGTAAATGAGACTTTGCGTGCATACTGTTGTACTTGTAATCTTGATCTTTGTTTACGTCACACCTCCTTTACTGGACACTCCTAATACTGGAAAACAGCCAGAAGTGGCATACAGTTCATCTATTCATCCTAATTTCATGCTAATTTATTAATAAAGACTTTACCGGAAATTCTGCTTTTGTCATTTTTCCAACTAAGAGCGTAGAATAGGGTATATGCATAGCTAGTGTTTGTTCCCATACTGATAAACTTATGGTGAACGATTAATGTGACTTTTTTACCATTTTATATGGTTGCTTTTACAGCATCGATGTTGTAATGTAATTAAAATACAATCAGATAAATAGACTTTGCAATTCATTTAGTTGCTCAAGCATAAAAAAACACAAAAAGCCATTTACTCACACGCTCCCGTCAGAACCGCCAGGCTAGCGCAGAAGCTTAATTGAATATACTGGGGTAAAATAAATGCTCATATTTTAAAGACACGGGGAAAATATATAGTTTAATGCAGTGCTTCTTGTACAATCTGAGACCCACTTTATATCGGATATCCCTCAGCCGGAGGAGATTGCTGATTTTGAAAGAAAACAAACCCTAAAATCGCTGATTTTGTAATGGCATACAGTTCACCTGAAGCACTTAATGTTACTGACAAATTAAAAGTCCTTTAGCATACTTCCACTTATACCCCATTGGCATAGACAGAGGGGACGTGACCACACCAATATTCACGAATTACTGAAAAGTCCCTACCAATAATTTAATTGAATTTAAAATAAAATACTGCTTTGTCAAACCTTAGTAACCAACACGTGCACAAAGTCAAGTTCACTACGAGTTCACTGTAATTTAATTTAATTTAAATGTAATTAAATAATTTTTTTATTTTATTTTATTTTTTTATTTTATTTAATTAACCAAGGCAGTGTAACTAATTTAGTAAATTTCAGGTAATTAAAATTTAGTTTCCATTTTGAACTCCATGAATATGAAAAATATAATAAGTATAAAACAGGTAAATTGCACCACACACCTCTCTAAATTTCTCTACATTCATACTTCCTCAAAGCCAGATTGCAGTAAAATCATGTGAATTGACTTTTGCAGCATGGGACAGTATTGGTATTTGTATTATTAAGTATTTATTATAAATTATTAAGTTCTTTATTCATGTTTTTAAAAGCGCAAAAATAATTTGCGCAACGCATGCGCTCTAGGGATGTATGTCCCCACCAATGTCAAGAGTGAATCTACACTCCTGCTTTCAACGGAAGACCGATTTCAATGTGGAGATGTAATTGGCCAATGAACATTTCCTGTTTGTTGTCAAACCATTTCCTAACTAACAAGAGACGATTCAGTCATAATATTATTTATCAAAATGTGGACCTTTTTGGAATCTCGAAAGCTTTGAAAATGAAAAAATGTGAAACAGGAAATACATTGGGACCATGGAGAGCAAAATACATCCTTTTTTTTTTTTTGCAGTATTTGTTTTTCGCAAATCTATCAGAGGTCGCTGTGTACGCTTTTTCAGATGTCAAATTTCTCTCGCAAGTGCCATTTATGCCTGCTGTTCTCTTTTAAATCCACTAGAAGCTGCTGTCGACTGACTTACTGACTGACCTACCGACCGACCAGAATCGTGAGGGCTGCGTCTTCAGAATTTGCCAGTCCTGCATTCTTCTCATTGCACTCACATCGTGTTTGGAGTATATCAATTTTACTAAGATTTTTATTGCACTTTCACTGTTTTTGTACATTTACTAGAACCACGGCAGCAGTAATTCATCAAATAATAATCAAATGAAGAAAAACAGCATCAACTGGGCACACAATTTGTATTTTTTTTTATAGTCAAGTGTGTTTTTGTCATTTTAAGAATCGATTTAGGCACTTGAGCAATGTAAAACAAGTGAAATAATTTTTCCATATTATCTAAAGCAGAACTTCTCTCCATGAATGCATTTGAGGGAGCATTTGTACCATTATCTAATTTACATAATTCGTTTAGTGATTCGGCTGCAATGCAGACAGCATGTGGAAATAAACTACCATCAGCGGGTGCAAATCATTTTAGTGATTTCCCTCCAGTAGCTGTTGAATTATTAAATATTTCAAATGCTTACAGGATTGGGTAATCTGTGGCATCGGGGTCACGGGCTGTAACAGTTCCAATTACTGTTCCTTTCGGTGTGTCCTCATTGACTTCAAAGACGTACTGAGTCCTGCTGAAGACTGGAGGCTCATCTACATCTCTGGCAGTGACTTTCACAATGGCAGTGTCTGAGAAAGGGCCCAGATGAAAGAAATTGGGGTCCTGGTGTGTGTTGGAGACCTCCACTTTCACAGTGTAAACGCGTTTGGTTTCGTAGTCCAATTTCTGGATGGAGACCATGAGTCATTGCATATATCTGCACAGTGTAATTACAAATTTATAAATATTGAAACAGGGCTTTACCTTTTTAATAACGATGACACCCTCTTGGGAAATCTCATCTGTTATTATATCCAGATATTCTTTCCCATCTCCATCAGACATTCTGTATTTCATCTCAGCATTTTCTCCTTCGTCGCCATCATTGGCTTTGATTCGGCCCACAGTTGATCCGATTTCTGCCGACTCATAAGTGCTTAGGTGGTAAGAACCTTGAAAAATACAAAGATTATGTTTAATTTAAATAGATATTGTCATTTTTGCCAAAGTTTAGTCTTAATTTCAAGTCTTTTATGGCTTTTAAAGTCAAGACTGATCCTTTTTATTTACATGAAATCGTATTTTTAGTGGTGTGTGCTATTATGGAAAGAAAAATTACTTCATTATTCATTCATTTATTCATTTTCTTTTCAGCTTAGTCCCTTTTATTAATCCAGGACTGCAACCCATTACTGGGAAACATCCAAACACACTCATTCACACACATAGTGTACACTACGGACAATTTCGCTTACCCAATTCACCTATACCACATGTGTTTGGACTTGTGGGGTAAACCCGGAGGAAACCCACACGAACACAGAAAGAACATGTAAACTTCACACAGAAATGCCAACTGACACAGCTAAGGCTCGAACCAGCAACCTTCTCGGTGTGAGGCAATAGTGCAACCCACTGCGCCACCGTGACATCTTCCTTATAATTTTAGAATTTAAAACAAATTTGCTCTTCCTCAACAAATTGACTACTTTTTTTAAATGAGCTGAAACAACACAATACTTGAAGTCCCCCCCAGAGTTTTGAATAAAGTTTATGCTCAAATACTGCAATTGCCACACATGCTTTAGTGAATAAGCTGACATCATGCATATCCATTTCATTTGTTCAGTACAAATACATGCATGATTATTTGACAACCAACACAATAGCTTTTAATGAACATTTAGGATATACGCATAAAAATGTCGATTGACGGAAGACATGTATAAATTTTGAAAATATGCATAAAAGGAACGTATGTGCATAACGGAGTAGGATAAACTTTTTATTTTATATGAAGAAATGCACGTAAACTACGATGGAAACTCTTTTACCGAACAAATTCCAGTATGCGTCAGGTCATGTGATTTTGTTATAAGGTACCATATGATAATAGAAATGTGTGTAAATGGACAAACTAGCAGGTTAAGCACATTGTAAAACATCTGAAATGTTGTTTTGGTTATGCTAAAACGCCTTAACCATCACCATTCCGTGTCTCACGCCTTCAAATGTCACCCCGCGCTCATTGCATGTCGGCATCGTCTTCTGAGGTGCAAGTCATTAATAAAATAAGAAAAAGATTCACACAGCTTTTCCTACCACAGCGAATTCTGTTTTTACTGTTGATATTTGGAGCCACTTAATCAGGAAGTGACCATTTTGTTCTCTTTGACTCTCTTTGATATATTTTATGCGATATTCCAGTTTTGAGCATAAAGTTAATTTGCAGTTTTGGATAGAAATATAGCTAATGATGTACTATGCGACTGTATGTGCACAGTGTTTCTTTACAAGGTGACATTGCCATTTACTGGCATGGCATTCAGACTTAAGCATTTTAGTTTGTCTGTGCATATCCATGCAAATAGGATATTTGTAGTTGTGTTGTTGTCTTTACTCAAAGCTTCCTAAAAAATGCTAATCAAAAACATCTGTTTTGGAGTACATCTCAGTCACATTAACATACCCTGTTTTAAGCAAATAACCAGTAATTTAGGCAGTATTTTAGTACAATTTTCACAATCAGTTTTCCCATCCAACATTTTTTTCTATTATTATTGTTAGATATGCAATTTTATTTGGAAATCTCTCAGGAATGCAATTAACAACTGAATCAGACATTCAGTTCCAAAATTAAATGAGTTGTGGACCGTTTTGTCTTTAAAAGTGCTGATAAAAAAGTGAACTCTTACTGTAAGCAAAACGAGGCGGACTGTCGTTGACATCTGTAAGGGTGACGTTGACCATAGTGGTTCCAGACAGACCACCCATCTGCCCTGCCATGTCCTTGGCTTGTATGACCACCTGATAATCCTTTCGCACTTCCCGGTCCATATTGGGAAGAGCTATTCTGACAATTCCTGCACACACACAAGTTAAAATAAAATAAGAAATTGAGCACAAAATGTGAAATTAAATAGCAATTTTTAAAAAAATTGTGTTCTTTTAAAAATTCTATTCACCAAAGAACCTTTTAAAATTAATATATCCCATTTCTACTAAAATATATGAACCAGATCAACTGTTTTAAGCATTTATAATAACAAATGTGAGTGCCAAACCACTAAAGACTGGAGTAATAATTTTTCATGTTTGCCAAAACTGGAATACATTTCAGTTAATTTGTGGGTCACGTATGTATGTATGTATGTATGTATGTATGTATGTATGTATGTATGTACAGTATGTATGTATGTATGTATGTATGTATGTATGTATGTATGTATGTAAGTACTGACATGTGTGTTAAAATTACAATTGGTATTCCATTTCACATTCATACACATCTCATTTACTCTAAAATGTTATATTTTAGTTTTTCATTTAAAACACATCTACAGTACATTCCTTTATCTTTTTATTTTTAGTTTATTCTAAGGCATTTCATGTTATATTTGATGTAATTACACTTATTTATTTATTGCACCCCCATTTAACTTATTGCATTTATTATTTAATGCTTCCATTTTCAGAATATTGGATCTAATAATAAATTTATGCCTTTGATTTATAGCAAGGGCCATTTATTCGGCTCCCCCATGTGTTTATCTTAATATTTTTGCATCCATAACCTTTATATTACAACATTTATCAAGCTTAACTTAAACTCTCACCAGCAAAAGTCATAATACAAGGCTAGAATAATAATTTGTTCCATTTCAAAGCAAATATTGTAGTAGTAGCAGGATCTGTTAACCAGGCACAGCAGCCTGTGATCTTCATGCTTTAGACATTCCACCTGAAACGTCACATCCTCGCTTCACCTTGTCAAATGGCCTGAGGCGTACATCGTAGTAGTATGTCAGCAGAGAATATGTTTGTAACAAGATGTTTTGGAACACTCACCTGTCTCGGGCTCCACAGAGAAATAGGGCTGCCCTTGCAGGATGCTGTACACAAGTTTAGCACTGTTTCCATATGTGGCATCATCTGCGTCAGTGGCATTGACTTCTATTACAAAAGTACCTAGCCATTAGAAAGAAAAAAAAAGATGTACATTTATGGAAAGAGTAATGTAGCTATATTCTGAATATAAATGGTCAGCAAAGATTGTCATCCTTAATAAAACTAGCCATTATCTCCCCCCCAAAAAAAGAACTGATTCTGAACTGCCATCATCAATAATTCCAGTCTTGCTTCCTGCACAAAACAGTCTAGGTTTTAACAAACCTGCATACTAGCAGCTTATGGTCATCATTAGCTGCTAGCAACCGATGTCTACATTGAGCCTCAAACGTTGCAGTTGAAGCTGAGAAGGTGCTTTGTGTTTGAAATGCTGTGAAGACGTTGTTTTCTCTGCTGTTAAAGAAAATCTATTCTGTTACTATTCTATAACTATTCTATTAGTGTTGTTTACAAGTGAAGCTGAAATTTAAATATGGTAATGTCCAGTTGATTTCTGACACTTGCTTTAAGCAGTAGACCAAACACAACAGACTGAGCCATTTAACCAATCAGAGCAGAGTAGACTATCGGAAAGAAGAGGCTTAGAAAGACTGGACTTTGAATTAACCGTTTTTTAGACGCTGTAAAAAAAAGATATACTGCAATGTAAATAATTATAATATTACACAGTATAGTAATGGTTTCATTTATTTGAACTATTCCGTAAAAAATTAGGGATGCTCTGATCATTCCTTGTCATGGTGATCAGCCGATAACAAGTATGGATTCTGTTACTTCAAGCATTAGATAACTTCAAAATTGCATAAAGCACATTTTTCCTCCAAGTATGAAATTATATTTAACTGGAGATCTCTCCCTTCCTAAAGGAATAAATGAAGGATTTTGCATATAATTCTTTAAACACATCTCTTCTAACCATTTAGTGGACACTTCATGGTTACAGAAAACAAAACAGTAAAAAAAAAAAAAAAAAAAAAAAGTAAGAAAAATGACTAATAATGCTATTTGGAAATATTGCAAATGATGGAAGAATGACTCAACAAAAAAATTTGGAGTGCATATTTGATGTATAACAAGTTAAAATCTTCCTCTGCTTGTGAACCCGTAAATGAACACTTAATCGGTTTATTTGATCTGCCAGATTAGCGAGTAACAGTCGAGTCATAAAATGTGACTATGGGCCGATACAAATCTCAGGCTCTGACCCTGAGTATTCCTATTATAAAAATAGCCTTGATTTTAGGAGTTGGCTGCATCTGAAACCACCTACTAGTAGGTACTGCATTTGAACTTAAATGTATTACTCGACCATTAGAAAAAAAACGTTCTATACAGGATGAATGTGAGCAGTATATAAATGGAACTCTGACGAACTGCTTCTGCCATTTTGTAATGATCACGTTATGAACTCTCCCACAGGGCATCATAGGATAGCGCAGAGTGCATCAGATACACACTTCAGAATCTCACCGGAAGTAGTAGGTCATCCGGGTACATCTCACATACAGATTTTCAAATTATATGAATTCGGGCACACAACTCGGCTCGCATTCTGATTTTATTGTACTATACAGTATACAATTTTGGACGCAGCCATTGTCTCCCAAAATAAAGAACAAAAAAAAATGTAATTTGTCCCAGAATTAACTTCATAACACTTGACACTATAATGTATTTTTTATCATCAATAATATACAATTGAGTTTTATATAGAAATGCTTATTACATTACTTTATTGACACATGTGTAACTATGTTGTTTATTATTTTAGTACCTTCTTTAAATTAGTATGTTTCTCTGCTTTTCACCATATAACTTTTATATTACCACCTGCTTTTGGTTGTGTTTTTGTCTATGTAAAAAAGTATAATGTGCAGATGTTAGTACGTCAAAATATTGGCATATTGACACTGCAAATTAATGAACTGCAGTATATTTAAACTGCATTTTAACAGTAAAATTTTGTCAACCACAGCTGCCATTTTTTTATTTTTTTTAAATTACAGACGTGACTTCGATGATCAAACATTGAAAGAACAAGATTATAAACACAAACCTCTATACACAACATAAAGATCTTGTAGGTGTATGTGTTTGCATCAAGTGTGCCGCAAGCCTACGTTTGAGTGAAGGTTTCGGCCGTTAGATCGCCCCCTGGGGGCTGGCTGCAGTACAAGTCATAAAGCCCGCCTCCTCCGTGTTAATGAAGGAGACTTGAGCCCAAATAAAAAAAAATATTACACTTGCAATAAAATGTCCCGAAAGATAGTTCTGGTCGATTAAGGCACTGGTTATTGTGCTGAAATAGGTGCAGATCTTCATTTTTGTAAACAGTTTGTTTTTAGCAGTAATTTAATGCTGGGCGTGTCATCGTGATTGACAGCTGTGATTGACAGTTTCTCAAAGCGCGGCGTCTGAGCTTCGGCAGGAGACTGAAGTAGACTGAAATGTTATTATTCGATTTCTGTGTTATTTTACCATGACAAAATGAGTTCAGCAGTAAACTATAGTTTCTGACATACATGATCCTGGTGGAACACTGTTTATTCGCTAAGTTCAGGGCTTTTTTCGGGCTTTATTAGTTTGCTGATACACGCCTAGCCACCCAGATAGCAAAACACAGTTCCGGCTAGATTCTCGCCTGCCGGAGACTTATCTCTTAGAGCTCAGACTGACTAATGTTACCTCTGCTGGACCTACTCCGGATGCCTGGACTCACTACCCAATTCCAGCCCGAGTCAATAGAGCCAGATGCGGCGGCCGAGCGAGCAGGCGCTGCCGCATGCGAGCCGGAATCAGCCCGCGACGCCGCGAGTAAGTTATGTGTTGCGGCCTGGAGCTGGCGCGATTGAATATATAAAACCCTCATATTTGTTAACGTTATTACATCCATTTGTGTTGATATGACAGCAAACGCATGCTGAGAAGTTCGGGGGGCGTAGTTGATTTTACATAAAGCGTTTGATTGGAAGCTCGACTCCGCTCATTTTCGCGGCTCCTCCTCTGGCTCCATCAGACAGTCCTTCTGCGCATGTCTGGCTCCAATTTCAGCAGTCTTTTGCGACAGTTTGTGCCCGTCAAGCAGGCGTTTTGCCCTCAAGGCGTTCAATGGGAAAAAAGGCTGTCGCGTCGTCCATATTTTTTACAGTCATTGGTTTGCATACACAATCACTTAAATCAAGTAAAGGGTTGATCATTTCATAGACACAAGAGTTGGTTTCAATAATAAATGATTCCTTTAAACTTAATGCTGACAACACAAACCAAATAAAGTGTTTGAGGGGGGAAAGTAGATGTTGTTTGCAGTAAATGGCATTGACGTCTGCACAGCCTGAAGCCTGAAGAAAAAAAAAAAGCTGCCGTCTTACTGACTGATCTGGCCACTGCTCCATTACGTTTTTATTTTTTTATTTATTATAACCCTATATTACTGCCTGTCTGATGGAAACAAGTTATTTCTGAGTTCAACTTTCAATTCTGACCAGTGGATTGTAAAAATAAACGTAATAGCTTGATAAAAATTAAATTGATAGTCTAATAAATCATGGATTCTCTAGCGTTGTCTGCAGCAATGTTTACCTCATTTCAAATGAAGAGTTTCTCTGCACACACACACACACACACACACACACACACACACACACACACACACACACACACACACACACACACACACGCACACACACACACAAAGTAAATGCTCGGAACACAAAATATAAGCTACATAAAACATGGATGAATCTCTGTGTGCAATATTTATTCCTCTTGTATGTTCTAAGAAACACAGCACAAAGTGTTGAAATGTCAATGAATTTCTCAAGTGATCACCGTCTCAGAGAGCTTCTATTAAGAGTTAGTAACTTCATTTATCATGCACCTTGAACTGTAAACCTTTGCAGACTTGACAAACAACTACAAGTACACATTGCATAAAAGGAGAAATTAGAAAAAAGCTACTCTAGAAAAGACACTTTAGAAAATACATGCAGTGAGGCGCATTTTCATCGCAATATTGAACTGTAGCATTGCAAAATAGCAACTATGACAGGAAAAAATCAGATGCGCTTAAATATTCTATCCTATTTATTGTCATATCTTGTATATTCATTTTTTATTCTTTTTTTTTTGGTTTGTTTAGATGTCTGTATTGTGTTCATCCTAGCAGACACATAACATCATAAGACATTGATGTTAGGTTAGATGTGGGTCATGACGCCAGGTGCCCAAAATTCAATGTGTAGCCATGGTTTAAGGACAAAGATATTTTGACGTCCAATAACACATCAAATGATGTTTATATTTGGTTGATTTTAGGTTGTGATAGAAAGTGACCAAAATCCACCGTTGAGTCAACATCTTAAACCAACATCATATTGCAACACAAGCTCATTCTGGAAACGTAGCCTCGCGGACGTTTCTGGAGACCGCGATTTACGTGGCCGGAGGTACGTAAGGCCGCATTTATTTTTTTTCGAGCGAACGCTGCGGGGCGGTGTGGCGCCGCTCCGCCCCTCCTCTTTGTGCTCACCGGCCGACGGCTCGCCTCCGAGTGGAGGGCTTTCCCGATGCAACCAGTTTGTCCGCTTAGCTCACAGCGTTGCGTCGGCGGAGCGGAGGTTCCGGAAATCAGGTAAGACGAAAAACGGAATCCGAAAAATAAGGGCGAGAACGCAGCGGGATTCGAAAACGCAGTCGAAATCGAAGACGAGGGGGAGGCGGCGGCGGCTTTTCGCGCGAGAACAGCGCGGGCGCAAACGGCGCGCGCTCCCGAGAGGCGCCCGAGACGCGAAAAAGCCTGCACATCGGCCTCTCGCGGATCCGCGAAAACAAAAACCGCTCGAATACGTACCTCCTGGGACGTAAATCGCGGTCCGCAGAAACGTCCGCGGGGCTACGTTTCCACAATAAGCCCGGGTTGTCATATTGATGTAAAATACTAACATTTATTTTTTCAGGTCTGGCAACCAAAATCCAACGTCTGATAGACGTCATAGTGGTAACATCCACACAAATTCAAGCTGTAACATCATTAGACGTTGATATTTGGTTGATTTTAGATTGGACATTGGACACTGGGGTCGGCCTGACGTTGGGTTCTGACGTCAATCAAATTTACATTGTTAAAGGGTCACGAAACACCAAAACACATTTTTTGAGCTGTTGACAGTCGTATATGTGTCCCACACTGCTAAAAACACTATTAGGACACCTATATTTCACTAAAAAGTGTAAATTGGTTGTTTTTGCGTTATTTCAAGCAAATTCGTACTTCCTGTTTGAAACGAATTTTTGAAGCTGCGTCACGGTCATGACATAATAGCGTGTATTCCAGCGTGCAGACTGGGCGTCTGTGCCAGAGTGTGTCTTATTACGTCTTACAGTGTGATGCATTAATGCATGAGTAAGACTTGGTTCAAACCAATCAGCGCGCTCTATTCTGCAACTTCATTAATATTCATTAGTGTCACTGTTTACACCAGAGACGCCACATTGTGTTGGCAAAACAAGCGTGGAGTGTTGCTTTTATAGTTTGCTGCCATTAAGTTTCGTTTTCATTTTCTCTCTGTGAGAGCTCAGACTCACGCGTGGATTAACAGTGTATGCGACGCTCGACAACAATAACTTACGTGTCCAAGGAGGATTATTGTTTACCTGAGAGCTGTTCTCATCTGCAAACGCTGAAATCCGGATTAGCTTGTAGTATTCTCTTCATAAAGACGCGGCTCTAGTTGCTGGTGATTGTCCTGTCTCTACAGATTTGGTAAGTGAGCGACCAGTGCTCTTTGTTTATTCAGTTTGTTCGTATCGAATTAAGTTAACTATTGCACTGAGTGCAAACTTGTTAGCACCGCATTTTGTGACCGGAATAACACACGCGGCTTTCTGACGCTACCTGCCGTGTGCATCTAAGCTTCCGGGAATTGCGGAGCTTTTTTTTTCTCATTCGCCGTGCGTTATCAAACATTGCATGAAAAATACACGCTTAGAGCAGATCCTCGAATCAAATATCGCGTTTGTCGCGAGGGGCATGAATGAATTCCCTGAATGAAAGAGCCAAACTGCAGTTAAAGTCCAACATTTAATAATCTCCATGTAGGTTAAACACAATGACTGTAAAAAATACACCATCACTTTCTCGTGTGAGTATTTTGACTGAAACTCGCGCGTGCCCAAATAGACACTCCCACACCATCCCACTTTAGTTCCTCCGACACTCCCCCCTAAACAGAGCTGGACACGCCCGCTTTTCTGACTTTTTCCGAAGTAGAGGTGTGAAAACACCCTGCTGAAACGAGGGGGTTTCATGGCCCTTTAAACAAAATGCAACGTCCTGCGACGTTGAGGTACAATGTCAGTCAGTCTGATATCATGTTGACTTCATGTGCCTGCTGGATTGTATTGTGTTCATATTTTCGTTTGTAGTTTGAGTGATTTAATCTTTTCAGCAGGTCTTGGTTCGCTTGTTTAAAATATCTCTGTTCACTCTTATTCAAAGAAACTAACACAGCAGTCTAGGGTTGTCACGATACTGGAATTGGATACCAATTGTACTAAAATAAAAAAAAAAACATCCATTTCCCGCTTACATTTGAGTACTGTGGAGCACATTCTTAAACAGCGCAGATTTGCCATTGTGTTCACATGCTCCAATGTCCCTGTATCTGTGGTTACAAGCAGTAAATAGCAGAGAGGTCAGTGAACTGATCAGCTTCACAGCCAATCACAGTCATTTCTGTTGAGCAAATCAGCGCTGTTTAAGAACGTGCTCCACATCACTTAAATGTTCATGGGAAATGGACGTTTTTAAAATTGCAATACCGATTGGTATCGAATTCCAGTATCGTGACAACCATAGTCACACCACACTTTGCTTTAAAAAATCCAAACCTACAATGTTTGAAAACACGCCAAGTCTCCTACATCATGCTAACGCTCAAAAACATCAATGTCATAAAAAGTCAACAATCTAATCAGAATTAGTGTGAACTGGTGTGAAATGTCACATTTATCTCAGAATCCTTTCAGAACTTTGCAATCCATTAACTTTATTTACACACTGCATGCCAATATTTATTTCTCCTTAGGCATTTTAGAATAAATGTCGGAGACAAAGTCAATATTTCAATCAAACATAATTGAGAGCATAACTGAGTCTGCAGAACTGTGAAAGAAAACCTCTGAGCAATAAAATATTCCTTTGAGTAGCACTTGAGATATACAGTTGCTTTATTAGAAAGATTAAAATGATTTCACTCACATATTTTTTATAGGATATAAAACAATATAATATAATATAATATAATATAATATAATATAATATAATATAATAACTTTACAAGCTCTCAATAAATTTATTATCAAGGGGAACAGTCATGAAAAGAAAACAGCCGGGTGTTTGTTTTGTTTTCAAAACTGAATTATTACCATTCATAATAGTTCAAAGGCTATATTGCCTCTAATCTAGATTTACCACCATTACTTAAACAGAAGTTGATTTTATCCTAGAGTTGTGTGTCAGAGGGTAATGAGCGCTTCATAATGTGATGACACTTGCCCCTTGATTGAGGGCAATAATTTCATAAATAAGACGTACGGTCCCTAATATTAGATTCCAGCTCAACATGAGAGCCCATATCAGAGAAGGAAGAGCATCATTAGATTTTCTTTGGGGAGATGATACCAAACAGACTGCTTCACTGCTTGAGGACTGACTTGATTGGAAACGGGATAACCAGAGGTTATTATGATATTACTGAGAAGCAGCATGAATCCGCTGAATATTCATGCGCTGTGAATATGTATGGTGTCGTGTCACTGCTAGCACAGAGCCACTGATTGTGTGAGACAGTGGTGATAGATGATGTGCGAATGGGAATTAGATGTAAATAGAAAATGTGATAAGATGAGCAAATAGAATCTCTTCCATCAGACACTACATCAGGGCTCAAGAGATGCAGTGCCTTGCGGGCACTTTTACTGTTTACATATATTTGCATTTGACTACCTGCAGCACATACTGTAATATTACATATGCATTCCTAGAAAACGGCTACATATCTACATATCTACATATCTATCTATCTATCTATCTATCTATCTATCTATCTATCTATCTATCTATCTATCTATCTATCTATCTATCTATCTATCTATCTATCTATCTATCTATCTATCTATCTATCTATCTATCTATCCATCCATCCATCCATCCATCCATCCATCCATCCATCCATCCATCCATCCATCCATCCATCCATCCATCCATCCATCCATCCATCCATCCATCCATCCATCCATCCATCCATCCATCCATCCATCCATCCATCCATCCATCCATCCATCCATCCATAAACCTGTATGTCACTGACAAAAAGCAAGTGATCCTCCGCAGCAGGCAGGGCCAGACATAACCATCAAGCAAAGGCAGGCCTAAATAAAATCTCATTGTACCCATTTACCATTATTGCAAATTTCATTCATTCATTTTCTTGTCGGCTTAGTCCCTTTATTAATCCGGGGTCGCCACAGCGGAATGAACCGCCAACTTATCCAGCAAGTTTTTACGCAGCGGATGCCCTTCCAGTTGCAACCCATCTCTGGGAAACATCGAGGTTCGAAACAGCGACTCAGCAACCTTGCTGTGAGGCGACAGCCCTACCTAATGCGCCACTGCCTCGCCAATATTGCAAATTTGTAAAACATTAAATAAAAATAAAGCCAAAATAGTATCAGAATTGTAAAATAATTGTCGAACAGGAAGGGTGGGCAACCCTGAAACACCACCACTGTTGGACTATTTGATTGTTTGCTTCACTGCACATCTGCAGAAACTCTGAAGTGATTGACAAACAGCATGTACAAAGCAAAGACTGTAAACGTTACAGAGCAAACAGACCTAAAGTAAACTAAGCTACTTAAGATCTACTTGTAAAGGGAGGAAATGGGAGAAAAGCAAAACTACCAAATGTTAAAAACATTTTTTTGCGGCACAATAGTGTAACTTTATATATCCAACTTGTTTTTACACCTTTGTTTTCCCCTTTAAGTTGGAGAGAAAACATTCTCTGTGCTGTGTTTATTTTCATTTAAAAATAACTAAATGTGCTGTTGAAAAAAAATAAAAATACTGTGCTAAAATGTAGCATCTGCTGGTTACAACCGTGCAACTATACAACAAGAATTACAAAAAATGAAATCTGATATATTTTCATTAGCTGTACATTAAAATTGTTGCATGTGGGCATAGAATAAATTGGTAAACTTAATGGTGCGGTGCTACTGCTTGTACACACTTAATAAGCTCCTTCAATTCGAAGTATTGGGTAAAACAAATTGGTCACAAAATGGCCTGTAATATTAGAATTTAATCACGGATTAGGTTAATTTGTTGTAAAGAGTTTGTGAATTTTTATTTCACAATAAGAAAACATGAATTATTTAACATGCGTATATTATGTGCATGTGGTGATCTATCAACATGGCCGGTGATCTATCATCTACATTCAGTGGCACTCTGAATAAAATAAAATAAAATAAAATAAAATAAAATAAAATAAAATAAAATAAAATAAAATAAAATAAAATAAAATAAAATAAAATAAAATAAAATAAAATAAAATAAAATTTACTTAAGTTAAGTTAAATTAAATTAAAAAGCATAGACAACTTAAAAAAAAAATCTGTAAGTAAAACAATACCAAAAAGAGTAAAAAACAAAAGTAATTATATACTGTGAAGACATCAAAGTGTTAAAATTAAGCAAAAAAAAAAAAAACCTAATAAGCACAGCTCATTTTTGTCTAAATGCTCCTCCTCATAACAGTACATGCTCAAGTGACTTGTCAAAGGAAGGATAAAAAAACAAAACCCGTCTAAAATCCAATAGCACCGCGGCATCCTTGACCTTAAAAACACTGCAGTGACAGCAATATCACACCCTGGTGCAGTATTCCAGCCTGACAGCAAATGCACTTCAAATAACAACAAGGGGAGAAAAAGTAATTTTCATTTACTCACCGACGTCTGACATTTCAGGTACACTGGCAGCGTAGACAGCCCTGGTAAATTTGGGCTCGTTGTCATTGATGTCATGTATCTTGACAATGAATTCAGTGGCAGGCTCCAAAGGGAGGCCCGTGATCCTGTTGAAAGCCTGGGCCTGCAGTGTGTAAGAGGACTTTTCCTCTCTGTCCAGTCTCTGTGTAGCATGTAAATCCCCAGACTTCTCATCGATACGAAAAACTGTGCCTGCTCCTTCCCCAGAGAGAACGTATCTGGCAGTGCCGTCTCCTCGGTCTTTGTCTGAGCGAAGCTGCATGGGCAGAAAGCAGATTGAGTTTTAACCGCACACTCGATATTTGCCAAATCTGTGTGGATATTTTCAAATCAAACACTCCAATCATACACTAGCAGAGCGATATAAAGTTGCTCCTTCAGCAAAATGTTAAAACGATACGCTGTCATCTTTTATTAAGCAGTGGACTTCGGCTAGTCTTGTTTTCAATCATGAAGAAGAATCTTTTGGAGGGAAAGCTCTCGAGGGACAATAGACACTCATGAAAGCCACAGACTCTTAAAAGTAGAAGTATTCCGAATGTGTTCCATTAAATACTAATGAAGCTTTTAGTCTGTTTTTTACCACTGCGTTTCCATTTGCATTTATATATATAAAAAAGCTTTCAGAGCATGAGTGATTTGCATGATTTAATCACTGTTCTCTTGTATTGATTATTGTTGGAAACCAAATCAATAGTGCTCTACACAATAAAGAGATTAAAAAAATGAAAACAACAGCAGTTAAGAAAGCATCTGATTAGCCAATATGAGTCAAGCTCTACAATTCACCAGCATTATTTACTGTATGAATCTCAGATCATTAATATTGCACTGTTATGACAACAGACTTCACTGTAAAAAAGACAAATTTCAGTTAAATAAAATTAGACATGTTTCATAATTTTCAGATTTGTTCCATTTATTTATGGTTAGGAATTGCGTTATGGGAACTTGATTTCTGCTTTGTTGACTTTTGATGCTGAAAATTCAACTATGCAGTTTAGCAAAACGGCTTTTACTGATATTTTAATTGTTTGAAACAATGTATTGTATTATAAATATTATATAGGTTTGGAAAAAAAAAACACTATCTGCGAAACATTTCCAAACTTTGTCCCATGCTGCCCTTTTTAGTTGTTGAATAATGAATTAACACCTTTGTATTTTCCTGTATTGACTATTGTAATGCTTTGCTAGCTGGAGTTCCAAAAGCTACCCTAAACAAGTTACAATTACTGTGTGTTCACACCAAAGGTGACAATGATGTCCGCCTTTGGTCAACAGACGAGAGCATTAAAATCCACTACATTGATTTTGTATTTAAAAGGGCTGTTACATTCTTGCATAAAAAACATGTTTTCTAGCGTGAAAAAGTTGTTGATCAAATTCATTTAATAATGGAAAATCAATGTGTTGCGTGTGGTGTGGTTTTGCTCCGCTTATTTAATATGAGTCTATGTCTGAAATATTCTGAAGCAGAAATACTGTTTTGTAATGTTATGATTAGTATGATATTCCTGCTTTTTTAGGAAAAAGTCAACTCACTAATAACCTTTTTAAATGTATGTTCCTGTGAGAAAATATTATAAACAATTGGAAATCCAGTGACCACAATAATCAAACACTTGGGAACAGCTGTGGTCAGAACCAAAGTTTACAGTGACTGCATTCTCTGAACTTCTTTTAAGTGGTGGACGTCTGGTCCGACTCATACTAGATATATACACTAGATATCACATACAGACCCTGAGCATTCGTCAGTAGCGCTGCCACATTTGTGCAGTGCTCCTAGGACAAATGTCATTTAACCTCTCTAGTCTAGTACTTTGGCATTTTCGCCGCTTTTGGTGTGAACGAACAGTTAGTACAAAATTCCACTAGGCACTATAGGACCATACACAATACAGCTGACTAGGACTAGTTCAAGCAAGCACGTAACCCCTATTTTGAAAAATCTTCACTGGCTTCCAGTCAGTTTTCGAATTGATTTTAAAATCCTCATGCTTGCGTACAACTAGACAATGGTCTAGTACTACAATATTTATCTGAGCTTTTAATCCCATACTCTTCTAGATGTGCATTATGCTCATCTGATGCTAGTCTTTTAACTGCTCAGTCAACGCAGCTAAAACCTTCATTGGCACCTACATTGTCGAACTCTTTGCCCTCTGATTTTCGGAATGCAGAATCCCTGAGTTTTTTTAAATCGTCCCTTAAAACATACCTATTTAAGGGGAAGCTTTTATTTTATTATATTTGACTTTTACATGATTTTTAGATCTATTATTATTATTATTATTATTATTATTATTATTATTATTATTATTATATGTGTTTTTAATTATTTTTATTATTACTTTTGAATTACTCCTTGTATCTTCTACCGCTAAACATTTTATGTTTGTAAAGTGCCTTGAAATGCTAGTTTTATAGCTGCTTTATAAAAAAATATGTTTATTATTATTATTATTATTATTATTAAAATAATAGAAAAAATACCCACATCAAACTAGAAATGTCAACAAAAGTTTTTTTTTTTTTTTTTTTTTTTTTTTGTATTTTAACATCCAAAGTCTTTGGAGGAGAGACAAATTTCCAATAATGTAATTCAAAAATATAAATAAATAAACAAAAACGAAAAAGCTAAATATTGAAAACTGCTAATTTAAATATATATATATATATTTTTACAATGTATACAGATAAGTAAAGCAATACTTTGAATTATTCACCTTTGCTTGCACATTGTTGTATTAACAATGACATTTTATTTGAGAAAAAAAAAATGTATGCAAACTACAAGAACATAGTACATACAAAGTATAAGAACATGCCTAAGATGAAAAATTTTTATTTCAACATTCAACACAACTGTTAGGTGAAAGTCATTAAAAAGAGACACACAGTAGTCATTGTTCCTGTTAAAGCCTTAGTAGGGGACAGAAAAGTTCCCCTAATTGAAGAATTACCCCGATACATCCCACTGGATGGGTCATTCGGTTTCCCTTAAATGAGTTTATTTGCCCTAAAGCTGTCCAACTGTCACTGTCTGATGCTTAATTAAATTTTAACCAGTGGGATGAGGCTATATGGGCTCCAACAGGCTTCAATGAATTTTAAAAAAATCTAATAAGCAGGTGTTTCATGTGTTTATGAGTGTAGATGGAGGTCCAGCATCTGGTCAGAGTCATGGGCATTTAATGCATTTATCCTGGACACTAAGGGCTGTTTTTTTTTTTTTTAGACAAAAATCACCAGCTGACCCCTCAAACACACTCAACAGGATAACAAACATGCATGTCATTCACATTAACTGATCGAAAGGGCAAATGAAAGACATGGAAGCATCAAAGAGTGTTATGTTTTAAAAAATAAAGCTATTTATTGGGCCCAGCATGGGTTGTTTTTCTAATCACAAGGTCCCTAGACAGTGTCCACTTCACCCATACTGCCCTGCAAAGGCAAAAGGCAGTAACTTCATTTGGCTAAAAATTAGAAATGGGACATTTGGCTTACGGATATAAGGCTCGTAGCCATTCTGGTGGGGGTGGACTTTCTTGTGTTTATTCGACTCGTTTTCTTTTCCTTTGAGGTTTAAATACTGCATTTTTTTAAAAATGACATTTCAAGCATTATTTTTTTTCTGGATTAGCTTGTCGAACGGTCATCATAACAGCAATTTTTAATGTACCAAAAACATTTCCTAATTATTTAGAATAAAGAAATATAAAAATAATTAATTATACTTATTATTTTTAAATTACATATTTTTAACATCTTATTTCATTAGAAAAAGACAAATGACTACGTTTACATGGACATCAATAATCAAATTATTTGATTTAATCTAATAAGCAGAATAATACGACTAAGATGTTTACATGAGTTGCTTTTTGAGTGTTATACTTTCATGATGCCGTTTTACATGTAAAAGCACATACTTCGATTAATGTCACTGTGTCACTGCTATATCCCTATTTCCTCTGGAGTTTCAAGCAATTTTGGGTTTTTAATTTTTAATTTGTATTTTAATTTTAATTTAATAATGCAACTAAAATCGGCATACTCCACACGTCTTAATTCGATTTCTCTATAGTTTGATTATGAGCCTAATCTGATTAAATTAATCAAAAATTGCGATTTACATGGTTAACTCTTAATTAGAGTATTGTCTTAATCGCAATAAAATTTAATTATTGGTGTCCATGTAAACATACTCATTGTTAGTATTGTTTTATTACTGGATTACTCTGAAGAAATCTGTGATTAGGAACTGTGATTTAAGTGTTATTTATTTATGTATTTTTTCCCATTATTTTTTTATCAATATGCTTTTTCCCTTTTCACAGCATGTCACTGAGCAAATACTCTTAAAAAGAATATCTTTATCATGAAAAAGGTTCATTGTACTTGTAGGGTATTATAAGATATTGTTTAAAGGTTAAGCCCCTTTCACACATACAGCCCTTTCCGGAAAGTTGCCAGTAATTCATCATGTGTGAACAGGCCCTTTTTGAAAATACTGGTAAATTCATTGCGGCAATTTTCCAAAAAAAGAAGTTGTAACATTACCGGTAATTTGCCGGAATGCTGCTCTGTGTGAACGCAGAAGGAAAATTGCCGGAAAGAGTTTCTATTTACATTTAGAACCACTGACGTGAGACGTCTACGCCAATCAGAAAATTCAGATGCATCTCTGCTGTTTATGGAAATAAAAGCCTTTAAATACGTTTCCAGACACATTTAGGTGTTAGATGTTAATCAGATAACGTTTTTATGTTCCTACTTAATGCCAACTGTATAAAAATTATTGATAAAATGCGTATCATACACTTCTCTGGTGAGCGCCAGCACACACACACAATATGTACATCTCAACATGCGAAAGTGTTATTCCATACGTTTGTTTACAACTGTTATCCATCCACAGAATTTGTAATGTATTCAAATGTGTAAACATTTTGTGCGGTTCGTTGTTCTGCCTTTGGATGTCTCTGGGACAAAGCAGCTTCATGAATACTTTAAATAAAAAAGAAACCAACAACAAAAGCCCGACCCCTTCTGTGTTTACAAATACAAGCACAGCTGTTTAGAGGTCATTTCTGGTTAATGATGTCAGAATTTACTGGTATTTTAGAATGGATTTGTGAACGGTCTTTTCTGGAAAAATTCCGAAACATCCTTGCTTGTGTGAACAGTGCTTTTTTTAATTTACCAGTTAAGTCATTCTGGAAACACTTTTACCGGTATAACTGTGTGAAAGTGGCTTATAGAAACAAAACAATCTTGTTAATGCAAATGTATTCTTTTGTGGTTGTCACTATTAGTATGTGATATATTTGCTTAACAAAACAAAAATATAAAATAGAAATAGAAAAACATTTTAACCATAATAAACATTTTCCCACAAGTTCTGTGCGTCTACAACACAGTCAGTGTTTTAATAACAGGGGAATGCGCTGCTGAATGTCAGTATGGACTCCTCTTTCATGTTTAATGTGGCATAAATATAGCATGCCTCCGAACTGCGGCTTGATGAATTGCAGTCCCTTCCTTCACACAGTCACTGCAGATGGGTTGGAAGTCAATGGTGGGGAATGAAAAAGAGTGAGTGAAATAGCCCATAATTGTTGATTCCTGTCAGGTCTCTGCGGAGCCACTTTGTCCTGGAAATGAGAACGGTAAAAAACTAAACCCTGCTACAAAGTATTCTGTCTCAAAATGACTCTCTCCCACTCTCGTTCGCTTTCTGTCTTTCTCTACCTCTGTGAATATTCATGCCTCAGCGAGTGCGTAATGCATATTTGCGTTACTTTATGTTCTTTGATGATGACATCAAGTTAGTCGAAGTGCCTAGCACTCAGCATCGTGTTTAAATGCAATGTCAAACCGTATAACCCTCGAAAAAACAAATAAGGTGTACAAAGAAATAAATAAATGTGTTGAAATTTCAACTGTAATTATGAATGGATCAACATGAATCTAGTATATGGTAGATAAAAACTCTTTGACAGCAATATTTGAATGGATTAAGACATCAAGCAGCTAGAATGTATAAGAACAGTGGAAGTATGTGGGTCACGTAGAGGAGGTAACTTTACTTTATAGTTATTGAGTTATTGAACCAAGAGGCATTCTGGATTCGCAAACTTAAATTGCTTAGTTCAAACGGTATGACTGAAGACTTAGGTTTTTCAATTTGACTTTAAAGGAACCCTCCACTTATTTTGAAATATAGGCTCATTTTACAAGTCGTCTAGAGTTAAACAGTTGAACTGTCTTCGAATCTATTCAACCATTTGAATTTATCTTCAGGTCTGGAGGGGACACTTTTAGCTTAGCTTAGCATAAGTCATGCAATCGGGTTAGACCATTAGCCTCACACTTTAAAATCTTGCTTTAAAATGACCATAGAGTTTAAACCATTTTTCTATTTAAAGCTTGACTCTTAGTTGCATCATGTACTGAGAAAATGGAAAATGTAAAGTTGCTATTTTCTTGGCTGATATGTCTAGGAACTATATGGTAGCATAGTACAGCTCATTCTATATGTAATAATTAAGGAGTTTTGCTGTTGTACATGCCTGCAGCAAGTGAAATGACATAATGCAGTGCCTGGAAATCAGCTGCTTGTACAGCGAAGAGTGCCTTGCACCCATAGAGACTTAAACAACCTATTTAGTATGATTTGATGTATCCAACCAACAAATTTGCAATTTTACAATTATTTAAAGTCCTTATAAACAATTATATAAACAAACAACAATAAAACAAAAGCTATAATGATTAAGGAAAATACAGTATAATATGTATGAATTAAACCATTTTAAGCCATTTTGAACTTTATTTTGAACTTTAATTTTTGAACTTTTTAATTTTAAGGCCTATCTGGAAAAATAAAAGATTTTAGATTTTATACAAACAACAGAGTATATTGTAATTTTATAATATTATTTATTATATATCAAGTATTTGATACGATGATATTTATCAGATCGATGCAAACAAAGCTTTTTTTTTTTTTTTTTTTTTTACAAATGATTTGGGAAAAACTGCAGGTAAAAATGTGTTCTATGACACCAAACAAGTGTTTATGTTTTTATATAATGTGGAAAAATGTTTAAAATGAAATTAATCATTGTGAGAAAGTAATCAAATCATTTGTTAAACATCAAAACCGATATCTTTAAATGCGAGACAAATGATAACAGAGTCAAAAAGAGCAAATTTTGCCGAGTAAGGAGTCTTGGCTGGTGGAAGATGTACAAACAATCATACCCAAAACATGTTAAAGCGCTAATGCTACAGTGGATTCAAAAAATGTTCCTCCACAAAAACACGTTTATAAAGCCTTATCTCGATGAGTAAAGGGTTTTCAGATTATAACTAAATATTAAATCATAAATGATTATGAAATTATTACCATGGACGATAGTAGTCTAATATGTTTCAATGATTTATGCTAAGATATGCTTAAAAATGTCCCCACCAGATACCGAGATCGGCTGAATGGATTCAAAACTTGTTAAACTCAACTGTTAAAACAAGATGAGTTATAAAATGAGCATATTTCCATAAAAAGTAGAGTGTTTCTTTAATGCTTAACAAATGATGAACTATTTGCTAATGCTTAATAAATGATTCATAGCATGCAGCTATTATAAACTGTTACTATATTTGTAATAATCGAACATCCGCTAAGTAAAGATGACGTCAACATAAGTGGTGATTTAAAAAGAGGATTGAATTACTCTACACACAGTGAAAGGCTTTGTGTTGAAACCTGTCTGTTTCCTGACAAATGTAAATGAAAACAGCAAAACCAGTCTGTATGAGTGTGGATTGCTACTTGCTCCATTCATAAATGAATAAATAAATAAAATCAGGCATTTGCATCTCCTCCAAACACTATTTTGCTTGACATAGGGGCTTGTGGGCCTGCGTTATCTTGGACGCTCACCTTGCCGACATACTGATTGTTATTTCCCATGTATTCCTCCGACAGGAAGAACTGCCTCCACATCCAGTCCCTTTTGGATCTGTGCAGCACCATTTTATCTCCTTTCATCTGATAGCTCCAGTTGTGAAAGAGATTCCCATCATTCCTCTCTAGCAGTATGACTGGGGAGCTCAGGTGCGGAAAGACCAGTGGAAGCAGCCAGAGGAAGTGATTCATTATCATTGCAGCCAATCGATCGTCACGATGACAGCGACTCCTTATGAATAAGCTAAGAAGGCGAGGCAGCGCTGAATTGAAAGCGATGTAGATGGCAACATCAGCAACCCTGACATTGTAGAATCGCCTTTGATCCTCCTTTGATTCCCTGTAAAAATTAATCAAAGGGAAAAAGTTACAGTGTGTTGGAGGTCACTGCAGCCCTTGTCAAGATGCAACACTCGTTTCTTACAGTGTAATCTCTTTGTTGTTTGTGGAATATATCCCACTGGGCCTTCGTGCACTATTCTGTTCACAGAAGATCAAACATGTAGCCTCACACAAAACCTTGCATATAACATGCCCTTACAATTAACAGAAGCGCCTGCATCGGTAAACACAGTTAAGGTGGAATACTGAGGCAGGTCTGTGTTATGATCAGGGCAGATTGTTGTTATGGATTGCTGGAGTTTTACCCGTGGATTTTCAGTAATTACTGCATTATAAAGCCTTTGATGGTTGATAAATACCATTAAGAGAATGCATATAGATAATTAATTTGATATGTAGAATTTAGAACCTCTTGTGAACATTAAGAGATACAATTCTGCCAGTTTTTACAGTTTTCCAAGTCAGTCTATTATTATTAATAATCTGTTGTAGACAACATATGATATTTTGAATGTTGGAAACCTGTAACCATTTTATTTGTGAATATACAGTTGAAGTCAGAATTATTAACCCCGATTTTTTTCTTTTTTCTTTTTTTATACTTCCCAATTGATGTTTAACAGAGCAAATAAATTTTCACAGTATGTCTGATAATATTTTTTCTTCTGGAAAAAGTCTTATTTGTTTTATTTTGGCTAGAATAAAAGCAGTTTTTAATAATAAAAAAAAGTCTGTATATATATATATATATATATATATATTTATATAAATTATGAGGAAAGTTTCAAAATTGAAATTTCGAAGTTAGATCCACTGTTGGATGTTGTTGCCATATGGCAACATTTCATGAAGTACCTTTAAAAAAAGTATTTTTTTTACAGGTTTATCCTAATGCCTGTGGTAGATAAATGTGACTTAAGCTGTATAGACGTGTCTTGAAAAATATCTAATAAAATATTATTTACTGTCATCATGGCAAAATAACATAAATCAGTTATTAGAAAAGAGTTATTAAAGCTATTATGTTTAGAAATGTGTTGAAAAAACTTCTCTCTGTTAAACAGAAATCGGGAAAAAAAATAAACGGGCCAGTAATTCAGGGGGTCTAATAATTCTCACTTCAACGGTATATATACTGTATAAGCATTCAGGTTTCCAACATTTTTCAAAATATCTTCTTTCGTGTTCGACAGAACAAAAACACTCTTACTGCTTTGGAACCAATCAAGGGGGAGGAAATGATGATAAAAGTTTAATTTTTAGTTGAACTTTTTCTCTAAACGAACTCCAAAAAGACACATCACTTAACACATAATAGGATAAAAGCAATTTAGCATTTTGAATACTAATAAAGAAAGGATTTAACATTGAGAAGAATTAAAAATAATTTTAAAATAGATTTTATGTTACATGCTGTGAATGAACATTCCTTGCTGCCCCTATTGCTGAAAGCCATGTTTAGATGAATATATAAAGAGTTTAGATGTAAAAACCTCTAAATGCCATCATAAACTGTCCTCTAAAATAAAAAATTTTATCAGGCTCATGTGTGTAGGTTCAGAAATATAATTTTTAATGGCAAAGAATAAGTCCTATTTCTGGACGTTAAAGTGAAATAACTCAACATAAACAAAGGAGGCTGAAAATAATGTTCATTTTTGATGGAAATTTCTGGCAGCACTTAGAGGTTTTTTGCATCTGAACTCTTTATATGTAAATATACACTTGTGGCTTTTTATCAATAACAAAAGAAACAAAATTACAGTGCTGAGAAAACAGTAGTTAGGAAGGGATCAGATCAGGTATGATTTGATGATGATGAATGATGTTTGCACAAGCTCTGCAATTTACTGGCTTAGTATCAACAAATAAGATCATTCAAATTCCACTGTTATGATAGTTTGATTGCTAAATATATTTTAGGTTATATAGCAGAAAAAAAAAAATTCTGGTTTTGTTAGACTTATGGTACAAAATATTCTCTTATCTTTGCATGACAGAATCTTTAATTTAATAATTTTTTTCAGTATGATCCTGAACACTACAAACATTTGGTTCATGTGTAATAAAAAAGAAAGAAGGCTGCTTTTGATTTTCTTGACAATCATGTCCTGAGATCTTCACAAAAAAATCAGTCTACAGGCATTCAGAAAGTCTTGGAAGTTTCAGGGGAGGCCTTTTTATTACAATTTCAAAAGAAGCTGTTCACACATTGGCAAAATAATATTTGAAAATAAAAATAACAAACCATTAATGCAAATACAATTCTTACAAGAATATAATTATTAGGATGTATATCTTTTTTATTTTTTGAGTTAAACTTTTATAACTAATCATCTGAATAAACATGTTTAGCTGTGTACAGTTTCTGTTTATTTGTATTTAACATTCAAATGTCTTCAAATTTTTATTTAGAATTTTTATAATAATCTAAATCGTGCCTAACCTTTGCTGCCTATGTTTTTGTCTAGATTGTAAGTCGTAAATAAATTATATGCTAGATTACATTATCTCAAAGCTTAATTTAGTGGCACTAATGCACAATACAGGATTTTCCTGAAACCAGTTAAGCGCAAATCCTGCCCCACAGCAGAATTCACTGGTTAACTCAAGCACTTCATGGGTTCAGTTCAGAGTTTAGAAGAAAATATATAAAGTTATAGATCTGATCATGACAAACAGAGTGATAATATCTATCAGGATGCTGCAGAAGCTATACTGAGCATACAGTATGTTCAGAAAATCAGAATAGGAATGGACCAATGTCAAATTAAAATACACACTTTTTTTGTGGGTTGAGGTTAGTACGTTTATCTGCTATGATAATACTTGACATTTTAATTACTCAAGCCGACATTATACAGTAATATAAATAAATAAATAAATAAATAAATAAATAAATAAATAAATAGTCCAAAATGCATTGACTTCATTCTAGATTGAATCTATTACCAATTTACTAACTTTTCATTATGGTAGTTGCTGTTTTTGCCCCATAGACTATCTATTGGCATTTCTTGATTATTTGTGTGCATGTGTAAGTGTGTAAGAGTGTGACAGAGACCTTAGCACACTTATACATATTAAGGTGAGAAAATCTAAACAAACACCTCAGCTCTTAGAACGTAGTAAGGGTATTTATGCATGCCTTCTATCATTTGTTGTTACACTCCATAAAACTCCACATAAAATCTAGAAACAGGCCTGTCTAAAGGCTTATTGGTGCCAACTGATGATCAACAGTATAAAAAAAAAAAAAAAATCAGGAAAAAACATTAACAATAAAAATGTGATTATTTGCACAATTCCAGATTTTCACAACATGTTACTGTAATTTTTCACAGTAAATGACAGTAATATCACTTTACAGGGTTTAACTGTAACTTCACAGTAATGTGTTGTATTCAGAATTCTATTGTAAAAGAAATCAATTAGCATGATTACAGCAAATTACTGTAAAAAAGGTATATCTTTACATGTTGGTTATAGGGAATCAAACTCTTTTTATTTCATTCAACATAGACATTAATACAAATGACCTTTTATGCTAGTATTGGCACTTTTTATATTAATAAATAACAGACTGTTATTGCAGCCCCAAAAAAAATTTGGTTACATCTTCACAAATAACTTGAAAGAAAATCATCCTGTTTTGAAGTGACCTGAATGCCATAGTAAATTTTCAGGTTTGAGTGCACTGCACCTTTATTTAATTTTAGAAGGTCAACATGGGAACATAAAATGATTGTGATGAACATAACTCTGTGCTTAGCCAAAAACTTAATAAACTTGAACAAAATTAATTACTTCATAAAACCAAACACTGTTAAACACCCAAAATGATTTTAAAGTCAGGGTAAAAGTCAAAATGACTAGCCGAGGAAAGCCTGCTTCACAGTAAAATATGGTTAATTCTACAAGAAAATACTGTGAAATCACAGTAATGAACTTTACTATTTACTGGGAAGTTACAATAAATGGCTGTATAATTTCACAGTAATTTAATGCAACAAAATCACAGTAAAATTGCTGTGAACTACAACAAAGCAATTTGTTGTGAATTTACACACAGTATTTTACTGTGAAAGTAATGCAATTATTAGACAGTAATTTACTGTGAATTTAAGGTAATTTTTTTACAGTGTGGTGTCAAGGCTTTGCAATCAAAAATGTGCTTATAATATAAGTTAATAGGGCAAAAATGCCACCAACATAACAAAAGGGTAGCACATTTAAACAAAACACAAGGGTTACATGCACAAAAAAATATTTTAGAAATTTTCTGTGAAATGTATAACAGTATTCAATTTTCAAAATGGGTTGCAGTTATGCTGTGTGTGTAGTTAAGTAATATGGGATAAACTAAAGTCCTGCCAATCATTTGTTTTTAAACAATTAATTTGATTAAAAGTCTTTTGCTTTGTTTATAAAATAATCATCTGTTTTGGGCTGATTTTTTTGAATGAAGCAATCAATATAATCCTAGCTGCTTTTGAAATTTATAATTATTAAAAATATATATTTTATTAAAATACACATGCATGATTAGCTGGAAAATGATAATTAGACTAATGTGGCGAAAAAATCCATTATGGAAATTTGACAAACTAGTCTGTCACAGTGACGGGGACCAATTATTTCTAGCACAACCTCTAACTGTTATTCAGTTAAGACCCTCGGCATCAATATTGATCGAGATAACATTCACATCCCATGTGGATTTTTCCTGCAGTCACAAACAATGATTAAAGTCTGCAAGTGAATGAAGAGACAACCCTTATTCGCAAATTGATTCTTATTCCAATGTCATTTTCTTATTCCCTTGTCCTCTTAATACGTTCCACATCCAGATCGATTTCCAGAGGCAGTACTATAGTAAGGGTGTTATAGCTACATTGGAGCTGAGAGAAATCAACGTACGTAAAGGGGATCAATAGCAGACCTTGATTATATGTCACAGAATGACTAGGGTCGGATTCAAATGCTGGTCACACGACC